ATGCAATGCAATGAGTATACAGTCTTTACAATTAAATTTATAAGTGTCTAATATTTTCCGATTTATAGGTTTTGGATATTTTAATGCTCTTTTGGACTGTAAATCTCATGTGTCAATCTCAAATCTTATTTAATTTGCGTTTGCGTTTCTGCAAAACTGACTTTTAGAAACTTTTCTTCTGAAATTTATTTCAACAAATGCCTAAAGTTTCTTTTTTTTATTAAAAAAAAAAAAAAAAAAAACTTTTAACTAAACCATTTCAGATAGTAAGAGATAAAATTTTCTCAGTGCTTGTTCGTGAATCAGAAAATCTGTAAAATAAAATTTTCTTGTGAATTTTCTGTGAAGACTTCACATAATACCGAAAGTAACCAAATGCTAGCCTAACGTTTTTTTTTTATTTTCTAATATTTTTTAGTATATTATAAGTGGCACGCACATACCTTTCTTCAAATAATGGCATTCTTCCCATGAAGGCTTGCTACCCCTAAAGTACGCTTACCAACGTGTGTGGGGAGGACTAATTGCAAAGTTCTTAAAAGAATATCCGATAACTCTCAGCTAAACTTTTTCAATTTAAAATTTATAGAATAGAAATTTCCGTATTTAGAAAAAAATTTAAAGACAAAGCAGTTTTTGAAATTGGTAGTCAGGGTATTCAGGGAATTGGCACAGTCAGGGTAGCAGGAATTACTGTAAAATCCTTTTTTTACCGGAATAATGTTAAGGAACAAAAAATATGATGCACTTTAATTTTTACAGAAGTAATTACAGTAAAATAACTGAATCACACTAATTAAATAAATATTTCTGTAAAAAACATTGTATAATATTTTATATTAAAAATGGGTTTTACGGATGATACATCCAAAATGCAGGTATACTTTATATCGTAATTTGATCCGGAATTTTTTACAGTTTATTTGTTTCTTTATTTTCCCATTCAGCTGGCTTTCTACTCAGGCAAAGAATAAAAGACTTTAATATTATTTCCTTTATTTCTAACCATTTAATTTATAAAAAAATAAACACCCCAACATTAAATAATATAATTTCTCACCTATNTTATTTTTTTTTTTTTTTTTTTTTTAGTAAAAAAAAAAAACAAAAAACTTTTAACTAAACCATTTCAGATAGTAAGAGATAAAATTTTCTCAGTGCTTGTTCATGAATCAGAAAATCTGTAAAATAAAATTTTCTTGTGAATTTTCTGTGAAGACTTCACATAATACCGAAAGTAACCAAATGCTAGCCTAACGTTTTTTTTTTATTTTCTAATATTTTTTAGTGTATTATAAGTGGCACACACATATCTTTCTTTAAATAATGGCATTCTTCCCATGAAGGTTTGCTACCCCTAAAGTAGGCTTTCCAACGTGTGTGTGTGTGTGGGGGGGGACTTATTGCAAAGTTCTCAAAAGAATATTCAATAACTCTCAGCTTAACTTTTTCAATTTAAAATTTATAGAACAGCAATTTCCGACAGGAAATGTATTTAGAAAAAAATTGAAAGACAAAGCGGTTTTTGAAATTGGTAGTCAGGGAATTGGTATAGTCAGGGTAGCAGGAATTACTGTAAAATCCTTTTTTTACCGGAATAATGTTAAGGAACAAAAAATATGATGCACTTTAATTTTTACAGAAGTAATTACAGTAAAATAACTGAATCACACTAATTAAATAAATATTTCTGTAAAAAACATTGTATAATATTTTATATTAAAAATGGGTTTTACGGATGATACATCCAAAATGCAGGTATACTTTATATCGTAATTTGATCCGGAATTTTTTACAGTTTATTTGTTTCTTTATTTTCCCATTCAGCTGGCTTTCTACTCAGGCAAAGAATAAAAGACTTTAATATTATTTCTTTTATTTCTAACCATTTAATTTCTAAAAAAAATAAACACCCAACATTAAATAATAAAATTTCTCACCTATCACTTTCAGTTTTCTCACCAGTCGAACAACAATCGTACAAAAAATATTTTAATGAAGAGGTAAAAAATCTAAACAAGTTTTTTTTTCTCCATCTAACACCTGGCTATTTACTTACCTCAAACCTACGCAAACACACTCCGAAATACCAACGTCACCAAAAATTCCCGCGAAAACAAATCTATCATATAACTTACACGATCGTTTTTCCGCAAGCAAAAAGCGAATAAGTTTTCGCGACGATGGCATTTATTTATCACCCCAATTTATGCTAGATGTTGAGATAAAAAATTGGAAAAAATAACCTCACCCTCAAAATTATATCTCCCAAACCGAAAAGAAAAATTGCCTGTATGATCATTGATATTATAAAAAAAAGAAGAAATACTTAAAACGCTGTAAGGCATATTATGAACACCAAAGCTCTGCTTGAATAATGCGATACTCTTGAAAATGGGATGCTGTTGTGTTATTATTAAGTTCGCTTAACGCTTAATAAGCGTCGAGCTGTATGTAATTCTTAATGGAACGCTTAAGAAATTAAGTGTTCCTAAAGTATGGGTAATGTTACATTTTTGATGGAGAATCATTGGAGTGTTTGGATTCACAGAAAAGAACCTTTTACCTAACGAAAAATTTAAGAGCATTAGTTTTAATAATAATTTTGTGAATGTAATTAATATTTAATTTTTTTCATATCTACTTATAAATTACAGTTGTGATAAGGAAAAAAAACTGTGTATTGTAAAACAGTTATTGTGTTTTTTAGAAAAACGGATTTTTTTTAATACTTTTTGCCCTATATTATTTTGTTAGACCATTAAGGCCTCAACTATTTGATGGACAGAAACATATTTTCAGCTAAGACTAGATTAACAATAAATTAAACCTTTTTTATTTCTGTAACTGTATTTCTAGATTCTTCTTTGGTGATGCTATTCACTATTTTGTGATCTATTTCAAAGCACATATTCTATTTTTAATGATGGACATTCTGTAGTTGAAAAAAAAATTGATTAGAAAAATCGAACTCTTTTCATGTCATCATATTAGGACAACTCATAACATATTTTAAATGAAGTGTATGCTAATGAATAAAATGACACTAATATATTTTCATACTCATAAAAAAGTTGAGACAAAGTTCTAGAAATGTTTAAAAAAATCTTATTATGTGGGATGTAGTGTAAAACACGTTGATTAGGGGAAAAAATTGATAGGGAAAATATAACGTTTTTGATATTATCATATTTAGACAATTCATTACATATTTTAAGTAAATTGTATGCTAATGAATAAATAAAACTAATTTGAATACTCATAAAAGTTAAAATAAAGTTCTTGAAAAGTTAAAAAAAAATCTTATGTGTGACGTATGTAAAATACATTTATTAGGAAAAGAATGATAGGCAAAATATAAAATTTTTTATATTATGATATTAAGGCAATTCATTACATATTTTAAGTAAATTGTATGCTAATGAATAAATAAAATTAATTTGTATACTCATAAAGAAGTTGAAATAAAGTTCTTGACATTTTAAAAAAAGTCTTAGTATTTGGGACGTTACTTAAAATACATGGATTAGGAAAAAAATTGATAAAGAAAAGAAAATGCTTTTTATGCTATCACAATTGGGTAATTCATAACATATTTTAAGTAAATTGTATGCTAATGAATAAAATAACACTAATATATTTATATACTCATAGAAAAAATTGTGAGGTAATTCTTAAAAAATTAAAAAAGAAAAAAAAACTTACAACGTGAGATGCAATGTAATATCTTAAATAAATAAATAAATAGATAAATAAATAAAATAAATTTCTTATTCTATTAAAATTTTAAAATTTAAATTTTTTTCCATCATCATTTACCAAATGATCATTATTTGATCATCAATTTATAAATCGTCATGCTTTCAAAAGTTATAACCCTGGTTTTACACAACTTACCCCTATTTCTTTCATCAAAACATCTTTAATTTCGTATTTAAAATTATAGATTATAAATAAATTTCAATGTGCATTACTAGTATGAATTAAATTTAAAATACAATATCTTTAATAACATTAATACTCGTTTTTAATAGCAAAAAGTTTCGCTTAAATTCAAAGTGTCTTAGAATGAAGAAGAAAAAACATATTACAGAAGAAAAAAAACTAATATCGACTTAAAAAAAAAAACTTCCTCCTTGTCGATGTATTTGCAACAGATATATTCTTCTCTTTCCCCTTAAAATGTGATAAGATTATTATACAGAATGTTCCTTAATCACTTCCCTTAATATATATTTTTATAATCATTCATTGTTCACACTCGTCAAAAATGAGAAGGGGATGGAATCTCAACTTAATATTTAAGTAATGATGAAAAAGTAACACTATTGAAATCAAACGACTATATACTGAGAAAAAGGAAAGGATAAAAAAATTATCAGGGCTTGTTTAATTGCTGGTTAGCTAAATTTAAAGTTTTTTTTTTCATCATCGCCTTATGACTCCTTTGTTTTCTTGTTAAACCTGAAAGGCTGTGATGCTTTTTATTCCATTTATAACAAGAATGAGTTGTTAGATTTGGGAAGAACTATTATTTTTATTTATTTATTTATTTAAGCTTACATATGAATTTGTATCTCCAATATGCATACATTTTTCATTCAATGTTTGTCAAAAATTCTAAAAATGCACATTCGAGTGAATTACGGAAATAAAATGCATAAGTAGTACAATAGACTTGCGTATATTTGTCCATAATCTGTCCATAATCTGTCCTTAAACTGCATAATGTGTACTTATATAAACAACCTCATTTGTATGTTCCTAACATGATTATGAAAATTAATAAATATCCATAATTTATTATACACAATCATCATTATTTGAAATATAATGCATTAGTATGACAAAATAGGTAACATATGTTTAAAATAGAACTCATGAATATTGACACTCTTGACAATTTCATTACTTTTAAATTAAATTTCTAGCTTTATATGTTTCGATCTGACATATGTTTATAAATAAACACCAATATTTAATAAAAAAAGAGAAAAACGGAAATAAAATCCTACATTTATTGTTCAGTTTCAGTGTGAACGATATATACAGCAAATTACACTATACACAATTTCAAAACTATTCATCATTAAGCTAATTTTTTTAGAACGAGACTTATGCTCTTGAAAAGGAAGAAGAGGAAAAATATCAAGTGAAACGGTCACAAACAAGAAACCCACGTGACAGAGAAAATCTTCCAGTGGAATCGTTTCATGGTTATTGGCATTAGCTATAATGACTGATACAACAAAAATTAGTAAATTTTTTGTGAAAAGTATACTTTTACGCCAATTATCGATCATTTCTTTGAGACATTCAGTCCAACACATTTCATCTAAGAAAAAAAGTTCATAGACGAGAAGTAATCTGAAATATCAATAAAAATAAATCTCAAAACTGTAGCAGATAAATTATTAATTAAATAGCATGGCTTTTAGCTCATAATAACAGTGATTTATGAAATACTAATTTTATATAAAGAGGAAAATGTAACGAACAGTTAATGGTGAAAGAGTCAATTGAAAACTTTCAGAATGATGAGCTGAAATTACAGAAATATTTCAACCACTAAAATTGTTTTCAAATTCTTATTTTGACTTATTATTCTTAATTCATACAACTTGAAATTTTCATTTTAATATATTATTCTTAAAATAATGAACTTGAAATTCTTATTTTGATATATTATTCTTTAAACATTAAACTTGAAATGTTTATTTCGATATAAGATATATTATTCTTAGTTCATTAAATTCAAAATTCTTATTTTGATATATTATTAATTCCTTAAACTTAAAAATTCTTATTTGGATATATTATCCTTAAATCATTGAACTTGAAATTCTCATTTTGAATTTTATTTCCTTAAACGTGAAATTCTTATTCTCACTTAGTTTATATATATTTTCAATTATGTCTTACTTTCTTGTTCTGTTAGAGTTCTATAAGTACTTTTTTTTTAAAATTAATATTTTGATAAGAAAATTTTTACATCCATGTATATATGTTGCCAGCAAAGTATGAAATCCGGCATTGTACAGAATGCCTAAAATTAGCCGGCAAAGTATGAAATTATTTATATTTCACACATTGCCTAGGCATTCTATAGAATGCCAAATGAGGAACCGGCAAAGTATAAAACACATCTCCGATTCGTCAAATTGTCATTCAAAAATGACAAATTCAAAACGTCATCCGATTTTATATTAATTCATTCGTGGATATAATTACATTTATTCGATATTTTAATACTTACTGACGATAGATTAGAAGAAACATCAGTGTTTGGAGTATCGGGCAAATATATACCNCAAACACTGATGTTTCTTCCAATCTATCGTCATTAAGTATTAAAATATCGAAAAATGTAATTATATCCACGAATAAATTAATATCAAATCAGATGTAATAAATATTTCGGACATTCACCAAAACGACTATGTGATTGTCAACATTCACCAGCGAAAGTCAACAACCACCGATTTCGGTAATTCACAGTAACATGCACATCATTTACATAATAACCTCATCAGGACGTTTATTTCATACTTTGCCTAAATAGCATCCGGCATTATATACAATGTGCCTAGGGAAAGTATGTAATACTTCTTACATTTCATACTTTGCCTAAAAACATCCGGCATTCTATACAATGCCGGCGTTTCATACTTTGCTGGTAACATATACATAAAGAAAGAGTTTGTCCTAAGCAATTTAATGTTTTGAATGCTAAATGTTCTTTTGATTAAAATAATACTTATTTTTTGAAAAAAATATTATTTCAACTAGGGAAATTGTATGATATTGATTAAGATTAACGCATGTATTATAAAGAACCAGAATAAAAATATTGGATTTGTATACTAAAGAATATATTTTAAGGAAAACTTCAGTAGAAATTAATATGATGCAAAAGAAATATATACTCACTTAAGAGATAAATAATCAAATACGAAAAAATAAAAAATACTTACCTACATAAATCTAGGCTTACTCCTGTAGTTGTAATTATCTATTATCTTATCCTGTATTATCTTATCCTGTATTATCTTATCTTGAACATTAGTAATGTTCCTAACATTCAAATTTTCACCCTATATTTTTCTCAAATGAAAGCCGAAACTTTAAAAGTTGATAATTTTGCGCATTGTTGGATAAACGCCAAGTTTTAAAGAATTGATTAATTTCAACACAACTTGAGGCTTTCATGATAAGATTGTTTTATTTTTATTTAAAAAATATAGGAATTTTATTGAGATAAAAATGGTGATTTATAAGTGACTGCAAATAATTGTAATGGAAAAAAAAAGAAATAGAAAAAATAGTTAGGAAAAATAAGCTGTCAAAGAAAAAGATAACAAGCATAAACAGTACAGTTAAATTAGGAAAAATAATAGAAAAAATTAATAAAGTTACGAAACTTTTAGAAAATACTCAGATGGGGTCTGCAGTAGAAAACAAAAAAAAAGTTTCCTGTTTTCAGGGACATTACTCTTTTTACCCCTCCCCCCCATAAAATTCAACTGTTTTGGGATATACAGGGGTGATTGTGAACCCAAGTCAAAATTCCGGAAAATTTCTTGAGTAAAAAAAAAAGTTTAAATCGAAAAATTAAAAAAAAATTTAAACAGGGTTTTTTCCTTTTTCTCAATATTTCTTGGTTTACTTAAAATATATTTAAAATTTTACACAAACCTATACCATTTACAAAATACCTATGTCGACCTGGAGAAGTAATTAAAATTTACAAATATATCTTTTTTTTTCTTGAGTTTATGATTATAATAACTATTTACAGATAAAAAATTAATATTAATCTTGAATACACGCTTATAAAGTATCTGACTCTCCCTTACAAATAAAATAAACTGTGTTTTTAAGTTCCACCTTTGAAAATTAGATTTCCAGAAACTTTTGTGATCAATGATTTTTTGAACCATCTGAACCCTCGATCTCCTGAAACTTCCGGATCACGGTTAGCAAAAAATCCGGAAATCCGGATTTTTTCCGGAGCACAATCAGCCCTGGATATAAATGAAATTTTAGTAACTTGTTTTCGCTATTAAGTAATTATTAAGTACAACTTTATGGATTTTAGCAATGAGAAAAAATATTTCAAATTTCCAGAGGATGGCACTATCCCTTTCATCTTAAATCACAAGTTTCAGAAAATTTACTTAATTCAATTAAATTAAACTCACAAATAAAATTACACACATAAATATATACATATATTTTAAATTTTTATTCAATTAAATGTTGAAATAGTAAAAAAGAGAAAATAATAATAATTCCCAACTTTCTTAAAACTATAGATGTTAGATTAAGGCCAAATAAAAATTTTATGAATTTATAAATTTAAAAAAATGCTAAAATGGAACTCATATGAATTCTAGAAATTAAAAACAATCAGTTTCCATTCCCAGCGAATATTCCTTCTCGCCCTAAAACATGAAATTTTTAGGTACTTGCCAAATAAATTTTCATTTGCAATATTTTTAATTTTAAAGCAAATAAACAACACAGAATATAACTCAAGAAGACGCTATATCGCAGGAGAAACTCTGGAAGGCAAATTCCTTACCTACATAAGTAATTTAAAGTTTACACAAAAAATGGGTTTAGTTTGTTCAACCTAGAATGAACCATAAAGTTTCAAATGCTAAATTTGTTTTTCAAAATATAAAAATTCTATTATATTATGGCTGGATTACTCCCGATTACGCAGTTAGGAAGTAATTCTGGAATAATTTGCTTACATTTTGATTTCCTGAAAATATTTCTTCAGCATTTGTCATTTCACGGTTTTGTCTAGCCTTAATTGAATTCATTTTTCATGTAAACTTTAAAATACCAATAGAGGTGAAGCGAAATTTGCCATTAACAGTTACACTCGAGGTATAGAGTAATTTTATTTACATTATTTTACCAGGTGATTTATATTAATCACCTGAAGAATGAATGGTACACAATATTCTTTAGAATATCTCAAATTGCATCAATTCCTCAGAGGGTAAGAACGTTTTTTTCCCACGTATCAACCTCACCATTCAGTGATAGTTTAAAGATCATTTATTTCAAAATTAAACACAGTGTGCAAAAATTAAAGTTAGAAAAGCTCCTAAAAATAACAAAATTTTTTATTTGGGAGCGTATGAAAGAGCTTCCTAACAGGGATAACCTTTTTTTTATAATAATAACAGCATACCCAAAATTCTATTTGAATATTTAATTGTACTAAATTAAAATGAAAAATGCAAAAAAATATTTTACCATATATATAATAAAACGGTTATAATAAACGGAGTCCATAAAATTACGGTTAAATGGTAGGAGTCGAAACGCACCCTCAGTTAGTGGGAACTTTTCTTATCACTAATGTATAATGTACATTAATANTTAAATAATGTATATATATTTATATACATTATTTAAAATTTTTCATAAAATGTGGTTTTAGGGGAAAAAAAGGGATAGCACTGTGAAGGAAAAAAAAATGAAACAGATCAAGACGCGCTTGAAAAAAATTACATCCCTGAATTGCTTTAACATTTATGGACCAATAAAGTAATCAAATTAGCAGAAGAGATAGCATTAAAATCAGAAAATATTTAAATTATAAGTTGGCGTCTCTTTACATTTTTAGTAAAAATAGTGTTAAAAAGTCTAAGCATTAAATACTTAAAAGATTACTTCCATGTATGTAGACTTTGTTTTTTCCTAATAATCAATAAAATTATCACGCATGAACTATAAGATACTCAAATGCTTTTATTTTCTTATATTTTTCAGAAATGCGAATTGAAAATTTTATAACTATATATTTTTACATATTTCCTTTATTTACCATCAATTTCATTAAGATATGCATGAAAATAAATTTCCTTACACTTATTAATAAATAAATGTCCTAACTAAAAAATGCTTTACAATAAATGTTAATCCTTTCCTTAGTGCCGAACTTAATACTAAAGCATCACAATACAAGAACTTATTCAAAACAAAATTATAAGATGCAAACATGAAAAAAATAATAATATAAATTCTCATTATTTCTAAGCAATAGAATAAGGTGATCATTATTATATAGATACATTTTTATACATATATATTTCATAGGTTAATGGTTAAATATCAATAAATTATAAATATAATAAACCTACTTATATTTCCGTTGCACGGCAGTAAGCGTTTCTTAAATGGTTGAAGAATTCATGCCAATCACCAGCGTCGACAATGTTATCAAAGCTTTCAGTTTGTGTTGCGTAATGAATGAAAACTAAACTGAAACTTTTAACTAAGCATAACTTCCGCCTGAATAAATAAATCAACGCCTGGAGTTTTTTGTGGAAAAGAAATATTTAAAGCAGCGGTCGAATGTAATGTAATTTTCATAGCTTAGCTTTACATTATTTTTTATAAATCATTGAACTGAAAAATTATGGTCGGATTTACGACATTTTATTGATCTTGATAAATTAAATGAGAAATTCTGACCACTAGAAATGATTAGGTTTTTCATTCATGTAATCAAAAACATCCTACTTGCAGCGGGATTTACATTAATAAAACACAACCAAATGGCATAATTTTAAGGAATGCTCTGGCATCATTTATGGAAAATTTTTCCCCATATCAATAAAAATCACCCGAATACACTTACTGCTCAATCCATTTGAAATGGATCAAAATAAAATATATATCGTTACCACCATGTTACAGATTTCTGTAAGATTTTTGTGAAAAAGTACATAAAGAAAAATACTAAAATAATTTTTACATGTTTTTGGACCAAAACTACGATGATGACTAACTTACAATGAGGTTAAATTAAAATTTTATTCGTTTTAACATCTGTCTCAGTTTAACATAATGACGTAACTAGAGATGATGGCTCATATGTTGTATTTAATGTCTATAATTTTTTTTATTTATGAGTCTATTTTTTTAATTTTCAAGTCATTTGAAAGAAAAAAGCGTCAGTTATGTATGAGTGCTGCAAACGCATATATAAGTATTTAAAAAATTTATTGAAACAATTTTTTGTAGGGAAATTACACCTTTTACCACCAAATTTTTTTTCACAGAATGTTAAATATCAGATTTTTCACCCTGAAAAATTTAAGATGTTTTTGATTTTCGATCACTAAAAAATAAAGTAGTTTTTAATCAAAATATTTCTGGCTGTTTTTATATTAAATTAACAAAGCTCCCCGATCTGATTTTTTTCACATATTGTTAAGAACTATATTTTTCAACGAACATCAAAAAACATCAAAAGGGTGTTTGTTTTGGTCACTAAAAATGTAATCAGTGAAAATACTAAAAATAACAAAAAAAGAAAGAAACATTGAAATTCTTTTTTTTCCTTTTTTTTTTTTTTTTTTTTTTTTTTTTTTTTTTTTNTTTTTTTTTTTTTTTTTTTTTTGCTTCCAACAAAGACTTCCAACAAATTACAATTAATTCACACAGCCTACATTTTAACGTCAATTTATTTTCAAACATTTTAAGAATGGATAATTTTATATCTAAGCAAAAATCTTTTTTTTTAAATATCCTGTTTATTAAACTGTTTTAAATTATTGCAACTTAAGCTGTAAAGAACAAATTAAAGTATTTTTTGATTGATTAAGTGCTTGTTTCAACTATTGAAAACATTAAAAAAACTTACAAAATTAGAAAAGCGCTTTTTTTTTAAATTTTTAAAGGACAATATATGAATTAATTGAAAAAATATAAATTATAATTAACTTCAAGTTAAAAAAGACAGAAATTGCTGACATTTTGATATATTTGAGCTTAGAGAAATTTTTTTCTTTTCTAATAACAAGAAAAAAAATTTACTAAAGTTAAAGACCTATTTACTGACTAAAAGTTAAAGACCTATCCAACTTCTATGTAATTTTGTTCGATCTTGTTCTCAATACTTAGATGTTTAAAATAATGAAAAAAAATGAAGTGTATTTATCATTATGAATAATTTATTTTCTACGATTTTACACAATATGTGGTCTACCTATAAAAGGTGGTAGTGATCATTATCTTGATGGCAGTCTATGTATAGGCTATGATGGTAGCCTAGCTAGACGTAGGCTACCATCAGTCTAATGATTAGCTACATTTTCCCAGAAATGACATTTTTACTTCCAACTAGACCTTAATATTGTTTCCAGATAGGTTTTTTTGCAAGTTACCGGAACTTCTTTTTTATAACAACTTATTGCCGACGTGGAAATAGTATTTTTGCATCAAAAGCATCCAAAAAACATTTCCATCAAAAACACTGAACAATTTGAAAGTGTAGGTTATCATTATTGTGATTAAAAGCCATTCATAGATATTAAGATTAGAGAACAATTTTCGTTTCAAATAAACTTATAATTCGAAAAAAAAAAAGAAACACAAAAGAAATCTTTGATTGTATGTCATTTTTAATTCTTACACAAATTCTTGCTACAAATTATACACCGAGTAAATTCCATAACATTGAAAACTAAACTCAACACTCTTATATAAGGATCTGGTTCAAGAAATGGAATAAAAGGAAAAACATCTAGGATAGTGGAGATGAACAAGAAAAGCAAATGCATGTTGAACTCTTTCTCTCCAATCAATCGGAAGTGTATTACCGTTTCTAAGATAATTGATGCTATAAAAATCAACAAATTTTTTAGAAAAAGTTGCAATTTATTCGGCCTTTTCATCAAACGTTCGAAATCTTCTAACATTATATATTCCTCTTCTGGGAAAATCATTCCGGAAGAAATCTGAAATGTTAATGGAAATAAATATTAAAAGAGTATATTTATTTTTAGAATTTTTTGATTTGAGTTACTATTTTTTGCTTTTTGATTTGAAATTCTATTTTGCAATTCTGAACTTACGTTATTTTTAATAAAAAAAAATTTCAGCTTGCATTTAATACTTTAAACGTACAAAAGAATAAACAAATGGAAATAGGTATTTTTTTTAAGTGAATTTATATTTTTTGAATTATAATTTTATTTTTAATTTCTTAAAATTATTAATTTTATTTTGAGTTGTTATTTCAGTATTAGGGCAGGTGAAATGAGCGAGCGAAGTTCGCTGGCATAGTGAAATGATCTGGAAAAATGTAAACAAGTTGTTTCGAGGGTTAGCGAGCTACAGCGATCGGAAAGCTCAGTTTTTAAAATAATTTAAATAAAATAGCATTCGCTTTTGAGTTATTTCATGTCAAAACGTTTTTTTTTTTTTTTTTTTTTTTTTTTTTTTTTAACCCGCTCTGCATAATTTAGCAGCTACTATTCGCAGCAGAAATATAATTTTTTACAGCAGACGTTCTCGCGGCTGAAAATGAAGGATGCGTCTTACTTTGTTTTAATTTCTAATTAGGTTCGGAGTAATCAGATTCAAAATTGCATCAGAACCATCGAATATCATGATTTTTTAACGCTTAATCGGTAATATGTTACACCAGTGTTTCCCAAAATGTGGTACGCGTACCCCCAGGGGTACGGGAACAGTTTAGCGGGGGGTAAGCGTTCTTATGCGAAATATGTTGCAACAAACGAAAATTTCAAAAATTTTTGTTTAAAAACAAAGCTAGCCATGAAAATTTACGATTACGTATTTTTCTATTGGCTATTTTTTGCAGAGTTAACAAGTAATAATAAGTGGTGTCAACAACTAGTTGTGAATTAACCTTTGTGCAATTTTTTTTACAGGTAAAAAATCTATTCATTTTTTATTAGTGGTACACAGCGTTCCGAAAAATTTAGAAAGGGTACACAGAAGTCATGACTATGGGAAACACTGCAATACACGTTCAATTCTACTTGAAAAAAAAACTGTGTAAGCAATTACAAGGGTTGATGAGCGATAGTGAGCTAGAGTCGTAACCCTTAATATAATTAAAATAAAATTTGAAAGATATTAATATAAAATTTAAAAGATATTAAAATAAAATTTAAAATATATTAAAATAAAATTTAAAAGATATTAAAATAAAATCTAAAAGATGTTATTATAAAATTTAAAAGATATTAGTATAAAGTGTAAAAGATATTAATATAAAATTAAAAGGATATTAATAAAAAATTCAGAAGATATTGACATAAAATGTATAAGATATTAATATAAAATTTAAAAGATATTAATAGGAAATTTAAAAGATATTAAAATAAAATTTAAAAGATACTAAAATAAAATCTAAAAGATGTTAATATAAAATTTAAAAGATATTATTATAAAGTGTAAAAGATATTAATATAAAATTAAAAGGATATTAATATAAAATTTAGAAGATATTAACATAAAATGTATAAGATATTAATTTAAAATTTAAAAGATATTAACATAAAATCGTAAAGATTACAAAATTTAGATTTAGAGTACTAAACAAGTCCAAGGAGGAAAGATCTGAACTATAGTGATCTGAAATGAAATGGGTGTGGAGCAAAATGGTTAATAAACGAATGAATCCCTATTTTAAATCCTAGTTTTTTATATAAAACATTATTATTTAAAATTCATTTATAACAAGTATATAATAAATATCATAATATTAATAATTCATTATTATTAAAGATAAAATAAAATATAATGTACAGGCTGTAAACAATATTTTCATTTTTCATTCATTACTCAATTATATTTTCAAAAGTTTATACAAATGGTAAAATAAATTTTTATGATACAACCAGGGAAAGCGATCTGCAAAAAATTACACTTGCAGCTCCGAGAATCAGCAAACGATAACAAGTAGACGACGTATTACTTCTCATAAAATAATAATAATAAATTATAAAAAATATTTAAGTGAAAAAAAAAACTGGGATAGAATTCTACATACAGAAACTTTTTTTATTGGTTACGCTACTGGTTAAATGTCATAAAATAGAAAACTTACTTATGTTGTCGTTATGCACTGTTATTAGTTAGTAAAGAATTTTGTCGATTCGTGTAAATGTAAATCATGAACATAATATCCGAGCACACAGTTTGTGTTGAAATGGAAAGTAAACCGAAACTTAAAACATTTTTAAACTTGCGTAACTTCCACATGCATAAATGAATCAATGTCTGCTCTACTTTTAAAAAAAAAGTGTTAAAGCTGTGGCAAAATAGTTTTGAGAGCTAAGCAATAAATCAATTTAAAGTCAAAAAGCGATGAAGAACTAATTTTAAGTGTTTGTGCTCTTTTCCTTAATGACTATTTTTCTTTCCAAAATATTAATTTACTTACATTTGTGAGAAATAAAGAAAAAAACTGATGGGATAAGTAGCATAATGGGCTGATTTGTGTCTAACTCAAATGATATTACGGATATTACGTACTCATGGTAACGAAAACAGAAGGCGTCGTGGACTAAACATGACGGAAAATAAGCGGAAAAAAATTCATTAGGGTTCCTTGAGAACATAGGTCCCTTTCCCCGATACTAAACGTCTAACTTAAATGATATTAGGTTATGCTCCGCAAAAATTTCCGGTAAAAAGTACCGGCACTCAGGGTACTTGTACTTTTTATCGTAAAATCCAATTTTTACCGCAACATGTTACGGAACAAAAAATTTGATGTACCTTAATTTTCAAAGTAGTAATGACCACAAATCACTGAATCACTCTAATTTAATAAAATAAATATTACTGTAAAAACTCTGGTATGTATATATGTCACGATAAATTTCACGATGGCGAAATTGATTTTACGGATCATGCACCCTAAGTTCCGGTATTTTATACCGCAATTTGATTCAAAATTATTTACAGTGTGGTAATTTCGACATTGGTTCGTATTGATTTCATTAACTAAATAAGAAATTTATACCTTTACAAAAGTACTGTACTTCGTTGCAAGTTAAGAAAAGGCCATTGCGGTATAGAATTTTAAGTAATCATCTGGAATTGCATATAGTTCCGTTTTAGATCGTTTTCAGATTATACAAATACAAAAGCTTTTAGAAGTTAAACACGTAAAAAAAAATTCATATCATGCTATTTTTAAAGATATATATAAAATTATTTAAAAAAAAGTTTATAGTTCTGTTATCTTACTGGAATCCTAGACTTGGCAACGTGTTTCGATAAATTAGCAAAACATTTGTTGTCGAAAAAAAAAACAAAAACTATATGAAATTTTAAGAGCATTGGAATTCACGTGTTTTATGCTGATAACAAATCAAATGCGAGATAAAGAATTTTTCTTTTTTTTCTTCCTCCGTCAGAGAAAATCATCTGCGAAAAACAATATTTATTGTTCTTTCTTCAGTTTCTTTGAGATGAAAGTTGGCGATGTTGACGCTGGAAGCTTGTCATCCATTTGGCGTGCATATATATATGCAAACAGGCTCTCTCCATAAGGATAATAGTTTTTTTCTTAATTTGCAACGAAGTATAGTTAGTCATTTATTTAGTCAACAACATCCTACGCGTTATGGAAATAACATTTAATAATAAATATACCAGTAAAATTAAGCAAATTGATTGAAACTAGACAAGTTACCTTCAGAGCCTAACTAAGGAAGGAGCATACGGGGCAGGTGCCCCGGGCCCCCACATCAGAGGGGTTCCCCAAATCGAATAGAAAGTTTATTTTACGTTTCCTTCATTAATAATCGTTATTTTGATAAGGATTTTACGCTCGTTAAAGTAAATATATGCACTTTAATATTTTAACAGGATTCATGTGGTCTTTAAAAACGCAAGAGAACCGTATCATCAATATTGTAATTATGAAAGTTATTTTTAACTTTAAAATTTTGAGACCATATATTTTGAGTTAATGAAATTGAATATTTCACCTTTTAAGAATTTATGTCCCCATTTCAGTATCTTAAGGACCTTACGAACTCAGTTTAAAAAGAGAGTATCGTATCAGACATATCTAAGAAAGTAAAAAAAAAAAAAAAAAAAAAAAAAAAAAAAAAAAAAAAAAATTCATAGTAGTGGTATTTGGTGGTAAATGTAGCTTATCTTAATTGAAGAACATGCTGTGCGACATTTTATGGTGAATTTGCGAACGTAAGTTTCAGAATGTATCGAAACATGAGGTTGCTATTTTAAAATCATCTTTATCCAAAGAAAACCATGTAACCTAAATATCTAGCAGAATGAAGTGATTTTTTAAACAATGAATATTACAATATGCAACACATAATTTCCGTATCTTGCTTTTTTATTTTTAATTACACTACCGGTCAAAAGTTGGCGAAAATTTTGAAATCTACGAAAAAATGGTCTAAATTCAAATGTTCATAGAACTGCGAAAAATCAGTCAAATTGCATGAAAATTTGATATGTTCTAAAGTGAATCCTCTACATTTAGTTACATATGATCAAATTGCAATACTTTGTTTTTTGCGATCTGAATCCAGCTTTTCATCATGGGTTGTTTCTATGGTGAAAAAAGTTGCTAAGTT